GCGACTGGATCCCGTAGACGGGGAAGAGGGGAGGGGCGAGGGTGGGAGGACTAGACGTGGTTGGGGGTGCTGGTTGGTAGTTACCCAAATACAGCTCAGAGGGCGCGATTGAGACTAGGATAGTGGGGAGGAGCGAAGTTGCTGATCAGGAGTTCAGGACGATAAATGGTGACAGAACTTATTCAGTCTCAGCTTTACCTAAGCATCAGCTTATGTGAGTAGGATCTGAGCTTATGCGAGTAGGTTCTATCTTACAAAACCCCATCTTCAGTAAGCGGTCTCCGCATTTATGAGGTTTATGCTTAGGTGAAGTTGAGGGCAAATAAGTTCGACTGGATTTACTGAAGCTTATGCTTAGGTGAAGCTAAAGGCAGATACGTCCGACTGGATTACACAAGAAATGCAGACAATTCCACACTGCCGCCTCTCGCAGCTTGCAACTGTGCACAACAGTTATACTTTTGTTTTTTGTCTTCAAAAACTCATCGGAGCAAAGGCTGACTTCATCCCCAGACGCCTATTCTACCCTGTTTTTGCCCATTTCATGGTACTTTTTCGCCCTCAGCTTTACCTAAGCATCAGTTTCATAAATAGGAAAGTCTGATGGCAGGTTTTTATGGAACAGCTTCACCTAAGCATGTTTCGTAAATAAGGAAACCTAATGACGGGCTTTTGTAGAACAACTTTGCCTAAGCATCAATTTCATAAACAAAGAAGCCTAATGACGGGATTTTCCGGAACAGCTTCACCTAAGCATCAGTTTCATAAAAAGGGAAGTCTCAGGAGCACACTTCCTTATCCTTTCCATTCTTCACCGCTTCCCTCTCCGTCCAAATGTACGTTACTTAATCAATCGGTAAGGGATCTACGCCATTTAGTCTTTATATCCGCCTGTTTTAGCCCCCTACCCTACCTCGGACGAAACCCGCCACATACCACCCCCACCTCCACCTGCCACATTCAAACTGCCGCTATCCGCCGTGGGGCAGCCCTACCTGCCTCGGGAGAAAAATTTTTTGCAGCTTGTGTATGAGACGAGCCGAGCCGAGTTTTTGTAACTGCCCAAAACAGGGGACTTTTAAAAGCCGGATTACTGGTGCAGCGAATATACCTATCAGTTTTTTATGCCCAGCATGAAAACTTAGCAAGAAAGGGAGCTCAGCCACTCAGCTAGCAATCACCTTTGGATTCAGGCCCGGGTAACAGAAATCGTAGTGTCGGGTTCTTTTACCCGGGTTTTACGTTGCGTTCGATACTGCTCATTTCCCCTCTGCACTAACTTCTACGCTGAGCACAAAAACCCATAACGAAATTCCTCCCCACGCCACAACCCCCATTCCCGTTTGCAACCTGCAACCCCTACGTCCGGTCAAGGCTACAGCTTCTTTTCAGTCAGTAACCCCATCTCCTCCCCCCGTTGCGATTCCGACACCTCAACCACCACTGCCCGCCCTTATCGTCCCTCCAGCGCCTTACCTCACCACCCCCTCGGCCATAGCAACTCATCATCCAACCCTGAAAAGCCGAATTTTACTGGCTACCCTTTTGAACGCACTTCCGAAAACGACGCATCAACGGAGCGGTAGTCGATGCGCGCCATGGGCGTCACAGGACACTGCAACACAGGCATTCCCATTAAGAGGTCTAGGATTTCCCGCAAACAGGAGTAACAATGAGGGACGAGCTTGCTGATCGGCATTCTCTCCCAAAGTCACCACTCACGAGGCCAGCGGATTACCGGTTAAACAGTCAGTTAAGGAGAGCTGTCATTCCCATTCTCTTTCATTCACGCTGATCAGCCGTCATCTCGCGAGGGGCCTTCCATGGCTTTTTCCTTTTCCGTGTTCGCGGAGAAAATGGCTCACTATCACAACAGCAGCAATTTAAGTGACCAGGAAGCATTTCGACTTTGCTGAAAATCGACCCACTTGTGACCATTCGAAAACCATTGCTTTACTGAAACTTTTATTAGAAAAACGAAATTTAAACAAAACAATCTGCACACAGCACAGAGGTCGAATGCATTTACAGAGGAGGACAATTACTAAAGCCCGGCTGAGCTCGGCCGGACTGGGAGCGGGGAGGGGAGGGGCAAGAAACTGCGACCACTGAAAAGATGACCGGGTAAGTTTTAGATCCCAGTAAGTCTAAACAAAGAAAGGATTGGGGCATTAACACATAAGGAACTGGACCCTTGCTTGGGGGTAGGAACTGGAAACCAGAGCGAGGATTACAGGTTACGGAGGGAAGGGGAAGGAGTTACAAGAATTTATGACGATAAGCAAGAAACTAAGTACTGAACGCCAGTAAGCTTTCGCCCTTCTCCAAAACCTCACTGGAAAAAAACCCCGCTGTTTACGTATAGCCGTGCGTTTTTCGCATACGACTGTACGCAATTACCACTACGCTTTTCACAGCTCATACTAAAATCCAAAATTGAGCGCTGTCTGCGCAGTTGAGCCGAGCCGAGTTTTAGTGATTGCGAAGTGAGAGATAGGGAAGGGAGCGGAGTGGGGGGTAGTGAAAAACATTAAGTGAACCAAAACGAGAAAATGCTGCAGAGATGGGAAGTCACTGACACAAAACAGTGCACAAATGAAGCTCAAATAAAAATGTGATATACAGAGAACGAAGAATGCGGAGGGAAAAACGGCCTGTTCTGGCGTCAATCGCGACTTAATTAAAGCTGGCAGATGAGACGACAAGTCAACAAATATAAAAAAAAAATTCTACAGAAATGCATAACAGGATCCTTCATTTAGGCGTGTTTCTTAGTCGTATAAACGGGAAGCCGTGTTGGTGTTGGCAAACGTGAGCCCTTTCCACTGCCAGCTGGCTGTCTTGCTCGATGACGAACTTCAGGTGGTGTGGTGTTATCAGCGGCTTTTACATTACGAGGAGATTGATATCCATTTCCTGCGTGGGTCATGTGCTTTTCTGCTGGAAGGGAGCCTTTTTTATCCTCGAGACTTCCGTGTATTCTCACACGACGGTACGTTCCCGGTTCGCGTGCCTAAAAGAACAAGGATTTTCTTAATCCGCATGGGCCATCAAATGCAGCAATTCAAAACTGCCTGTTGTTGAACAAATCAGAA